TCTGTGCAATGAAACTGTCTGTCTGTCTTCAAAGGTTTACAGATAACCTTTTGAAAATTTTCTAACAACCAACACAACTTAAACCTTGCCTGCTTCATTAAGACTTGCAAGAGGAAATAAAAATAATCTCACTATCTCCTAGCAAGTATATGAAACCTTGAAAAGGTTTCTTTTAAGTACTTGTTTGTTATGCCTTAAAGGTTAACAGCAGTTTTTCTTTGAACACAACTACAGCGCATTTTTTCTGTAATGTGAAGGTCATGAGCAGAATTTCGGATCCTCAAAGAGATTAGGTTTTGTGAGTACAACTCTTTGGTTACTAAGAAAACGTGAACACTGAAGCAGATAGAAATATCCATCCAGTGCCATTCAAAAGACCACTACAATTAGTATTTAAAATAATCCAGAATTTGGAAGCATGAAATTTAGGGTTTTTCCCCATAATCCACATTCCACATCTGTGGAAACATTTTCTTCCCCCACAGATGTCTTAAGTGTCACTCTCAGCAATAAATCAGAACTATTTGCACAGTGGAAAAATAAACAGTGTAAACAGTGTACCTGTTGAAAAAACACTGCCCAACAAAATCTGCCTTTGAGAGATTCACAAATGCTCATTTGTAAGAAAGTCATGAGGCAAATAACATAGATGCACTTCTTCAGGATCTCTGCAGAAGTCTGAATTGGGTTCTATTTTGTATCTTCACCCATCTATACCCGTCCCACTAAATTTTGTTAGAATGTCACGTGACAACAGCAAAATACTTTCATTAAACCTTCATTTGCATTAATCTAGTTAGAACAATACCACGATTACATACACCACTCCTTAACTCAGTCCCACAAATAGTCCTTACTAAAATTAGTGTTAGCATGCAGGCAAAATTAAGACTGTCCTTAGTCAAACCAAGATCATAACTGGAGAAACACTTCAGCCTTTAGTGTGCCACTGATTTCTGATTTCCCCTGCTTTCCAACAGAACTTTAATAGTTGTGTATGCTGAAACTGTCCAAGAAAAATCAGGGGTTGCATTATTTTAAAGCAACCTGAAGAGGTTATTTAGTCCTAAGAGAAACTTTCCCTAGATTTAGTCTAAAGAGCAAGTATTATTTCCCCTCTGGAATTTCCCAGAGGGCAAAAACACTCACCAAAAAGGCTAAGTGACAATTAAGCAAATTTTTCCTTTAGATATGAAAAACTTCAAGATACATAAATGGTTTCATAACTCAAATCCATACTATTGCATTTGTAACACAATATTTATGGAACAGAAACATGTATTTAAAAAAAGGAATTTAGATTTTAAACCTTCCCTCTTTGAAGAAGTTTGTATTAGTTTTGGGGGAGAGGGGTATTTCATTTTTTATGAATAGATAAATAAAAACATCAATGGAGTTAAAAAATAAAGGTAGAATTTGTTTTGTATTCTCATCTCCTTAAATCACAAATCTGTTTTTACAAATGGAGAAACTGAGTCACAAAGGCAAACTGACTCATTAAAATTCATACAGGAAAACTCTGAAAGATGTCTAAATTCCCAAGAGGTTCTTAGTGCATAAAATAAACTGTAAAATTTGAAAATTAGTATTTTTTTTGTTATTTCATTATCCTCCCCCAAACACTTTGTAATGTGTACAAAGATATTTTCCTCTAACTGTGAATCAGATGTCTGCTTGAGAACATGACAGAGGCCATGAAGAGCTTACAGACTATAGCATCAAGAACAGGGGCTTTCAACTGAAAGCAAGGAAAGAAAAAGGCAAAAGGTTTCCATAAAGGCACATATACTCTTGAAAGTCTTCTTTTTGTGTTCTCAAATAAAGAGAAGACGACATGGATCCAAAAAAAAATAATTGTATTTCTATAAATAAAGATGATGGGAGCATGCATTACTGGAGAATTAACAAAATCACTCAGCCTTTGGCCTCGAAACACACTAAAGGCATGCATTAACAACACCCTCGAAATCTAACTATCTTACTGTTCAACTTCAGGTATACCTTAAATCCTACATCAGTGCTATTCAAATTAAAATTCATCAGAGATTGATGACAGCTTTTCCCCTTCAATACCTTACTTTTGATTGCTTAGCAAAACCAGAAGGTTCTAAAGATATACTGGAATAGGAATTCATATTGCATTAATTTAAAGGACAAGATTAAAGATAGGCATTTAAAAAAAGGTGAAAATTTATTTTTTGCTATTGTTGTTTCAAACATACAATTTGCAGCCTCTATAGGATGTATCAGAGTACACTACACCAACTACCAAATAATGAATCCTTGTGACCTCCCTTCCCCCCACTCAAACATATTTATAGTGGTGATACTAAAAGGTTCATATTTCATTTAGGAAAAAAATTAGAGGTTACGAACCGCACCTTCTCTCAGTACTTGTATCTTGTATGTGTATTATCACATATACAATTTATGTAACAATATACAGAATAAACTGAAAAAAATGCAATGCAAAGATTACATGGCAGCAGAAGAAATTCTGTGTCTTGAAATAAAGTAACAGGTTATAATCTCACATGCATTATTCCCTTAAATTCATTTCGTATTCTCAAACTTTGAATACATGGAATTACTACACCGATGTCCAGTGAAGGTATTTCCTGGAAGATGAACATGATGTTCATATATGTGATTCCACAAAAATATTAAGCTGTCTTTGTGATCGTAATCCACTACTCGCATTGATATATATTACTGATTTTATGTCGTTAGTAGGACAGACAGTTCTACAGTATCGATCACAAACGCAGCTTTTCCGATTTACTAAACTGACATACATATTACCTTACAGCACCATATACACACCCCTCGAAGAAGCTGCTTGAGTCTGCTGCCTCTTTCCACCCCCCTTTTCCCCGACAAGAGTGGTCTCGTTCACTTGCCTTTCACACACATAACCAATAAAATTAATCAGCTGGAACACAGCATTTTTAAATCGCAGTAAAGTCAAGAGATGTTTTGTACGTTATTTGAAGGGAACAGCCTTTTCATTTAAACGTAGTAAGACACTAATATGCTGCAGACAAACGCACTGCATGGGGTGTGGAGGACCCGAGCTGATTAGATTACCACAACATCAGCCTGAGGCCGCCATTTTTAGAATCTCTAAAGGACAAAAGAGGGAAATTAATAAATTTACTCCTCATTTTTTTACAAGTAACTTTAAAAGTATAGTGATGATAACCAATTAATCACGCATTGCAAGTACTGACATGGATATCTCCTGCTTTTCTCTGATCTGAACCTTAAGTAACAAAAATGCTTCGTTATTATTCCTTTAAGCTATTGTAAATAAACAGACTAAAACATTCCTAAACCCAGATGCAGCACTGAACTTCTGCTTTTGACGACACGTAGCACGTACCATTTTAGGGACCTCAGGGCTTTCAGAGACGGCACATTCCCTAATAGTCGAGTATGGGGGAATACAGGACCTTTATAATCAGGCTATATTATGTTTCTCTACCCTATTTAGTAGTACACAGTGAACCGTTTGTTTCTTTTCCCCTGTGTCTGCAGCAATACGGTCTAACCCACCAGCACTTACTGCTTCAGGAAAGAGACTGGTATATGCCACCCAGGGAACACGAACACTGCCTGCAGAAACTAAAGCAAGGAAGAGGTGCACCAGTGTAACTACTTACAGCCTCGAGAAAGGGGGTGGGGAGAATGATCCCCTTTTAAATTGGCACAGAAACTCCTGGGGACAGCTCTCCGTTTGTCCAGGTTACACCACGAAACAGAGATATTAACAGGGAGGCAGGCAGGGAGGCGGGGGTGTGGAAGGCAAAGAGATTAGGCCTATAACGAGCCATTTTAGTACCACAAAGCAAAAATATACAGGATGGAGGAAAAGAATAGGCTTCCCCAAGCTTCGTAAAACTCAATACGCAGTCCCAATAACGCACAAACCCGTTCTGAAAACCGCCAGCCCAAGGAAGCCTATGCTGTCACATAATAGCTCCTTTTGGCTCATTTTCCAAGCATAATGCATAAATCTGGCGTAACTGCCAAAAAATTCTCCTCAGCTCATCCAGTTACAGTAACCCGCCATATTCATAAGATATAGCGACAGCCTGCCATTTTTTAACCAAACCCCACAAAAGGAAAAGCAAATTCAAGGCAACTTAAACAAAAACACATTTCAGGGTTGGAAGGAATTATACTCGCACCGAAGGTAATGAGACATGCCCGTCGCATTTCACTCCCTTTTTCCACCCCCCCCTCCCCCAAAGCACCCACAGCAGAATATGCTGGTAATAACCAAAGACTCACCTGTAATGGTCACAGGCCAGGCAGTAGGACCCCTCAGTTGAGCCCCTTCTCTATCCCAACCAAAACAATGCAACAGCCCCACTGCGGATATCCCTACCCTAGGCAGGACTCAGCCCTCAGTAGGCTCTAGTAAAAGAAAGAAAAGGGAAAGAGGAGACCCCCCCTCCCCCCAAACCTAGCTCAGTGCGCAGAACCCTACAGGGACCAGCTCAAAGGCGCCTTTGCCCTGGGACCTGTGTACAAACCCCGCTGCTGCCGCCGCTGCTCCCGTGCCTCCCTCCCTCCAGCCTCCTACGCTCCCTTCTATGTCACTGCCTCTCTCTGGGAAAATGGCGTCCGCTCTCCCCTCCCTCCCCCTGCACGGGGCTCACCCGCCCCGCCTGACAGGGGCAGGGTTACCAAGGCGAAGCCAAACAGCCGCCATTTTGCTTACGGGCCGGGAGCGCAGCCCGCGCCGGCCGAGCCCTCAGAGTCCATTTTGCAACACGCCGAACGGCTCCGGGGTCTGGGCGCGGCCGCGGCACCAGACTGCGGCAGGGGCTGGGCAGGGGGGCCCTGAGGAGGGAAGTAGGGCAGCGGAGGAGGGGCGGCGGCAGCGGGGGCTGGCGCCGGGGGCGATCCGCAGCCCCGGCGGCGCAGCCCGCGCGGGAGGGGCGGGGGCTCCGTCCCGGCCTGTTGTGGGGCCGAGCGCGGGCGGGGGCGAGGGTGTCTGAGTCAGAGATGCATCCTCGGAGGAATAAACGCCAAAATTCCCTCCTTGGCCGCTCTCACACCCCCAACCTCCGGCTTCTTCCTCACGACCGTCGATGCTGTCAGCATATGTGTTCTTTATGAATCTCTAACAGCACATTTTCGGCCTAAACTGCGCGAAAAGCCGGGGACACCCGCCGGATCTCACACGCAGAAGAACTACCTGAGGGGCGGGGAAGAGGGGAGCAAGAAAGCGGCAATTTTTTGCAGATTTGCTCAGGAGGTTTTGACTGAAACTCTCAGTAAGACACTCGAGGCTGAGAATCTTCCCCGAAGCGTTTAGGACTCAAAGGCAAGTGGGAGAAAGCTTCTTTCCTTAAAGCGAGTGGGACAGCACTCGCTGAAGGCATTTCTGTTCTGTAGGGAAGGAGACAAGCGGCGAACGAGCCTTGTTTCCCCTCTAGGGAACAGCGCTCGGGGAGCAGGAATGGCGCGCTTCCGTCCAGACCAGCGGGCGCTGCCAAAGCCAGGAGCTCGCTCAGCCTTTCAGGGCAGACACAGCTCCGCCATTCGTAAGGAGCTCCCTTCCTACCACCCTATCTCCTCCCAGCTCCCGCTGTACCCGTACGCCGCCCTGCCTCCCCTGCCTGGCTTCAGCCCCTCCAGCGATACGGCTGATGGAGGGAGGGGAGGCGGCGGCTGGGGTTTCGTTCGACGCCCACCAGGGGCTGAGCGAGCCTCCTTCAGTGCGCAAACTCGGGGCACCAGATAAAAGCTGGGCTGGCAGCTCTTACCCTGCCTCGATGGAGCCACCACATTCGGGTGACTGGAGAAGCAGTTAGCAGCAGCGCCATAGACTAGCGTCCCCCCACACCTTGGGCACAGAGAGTTTGAGGCTCTAAACAGCTGCTGCTGCGGCAGGAGGGAGCCGAGGTGAAGGGATCTGCTAGCTGGTTGGACGTAGAGGAGGCGGCTGTAATGGGGCATTAAGTCTGAGGGAGGAGGGGGGGCGATTAAACGTCTTGTGATCATGGCGGAGTCTATGGGTATTTTTTTCCTGTCTAACTCTTCTGTGCGTGTGTCTCTTGTTTCTTTCTCTCTCTCTCCTTAGGGCGCTTGGCTGGGGCTGCTCGCTCGGGTTCTGCCTGTTGTTGCGCGAAATGGCGGCTGGCGTCTTGGTGGGTTTGGTTGTCGGTTTTTTGTGTAGGGTTTTTTTTTTTTTCCTTCCCCTCCTATTCCCCTCCCCGCACTTGTGCCTTGGCTGCGGCTCCGCAGCGAACCGCGGCGGGGCCCGAGTCAGGAGGGGGGCGGGAGCGGCGCGGCAGCCAATGGCCGAGCTGGCCTGGGTGGCCCGGCGCGCCCCGATTGGCTGGCGCTGACATCATCCTGCAGCAGGGGCAGCCGCAGCTGGGCAGGGTTGGGAGCTGCCGGGGGAGGCAAAGGGAGAAAACGGGCGCCATGATCTCAGCGTCAGGGAGGACTCCGCGGGTAGGGTGTCCCCGAAGAGCTGGCGAAAAGGAAAGCAGGACCAGGCCTGGACTTCTCCTTCCCAAATAGTGCCGGGGCTGTGCCGAGAGGAACGGGAAACGAGCGAGAGGGGAGCAACTCGTGCCTGCCTTTGTAACTGCGTCAGTACAAGATGGCGCAGGGTGTCCCTGGAGAGGGAAGGGAGTTGCACGTCCGCCGGAGGTCATGTGACCGCGTTGCATTCCTCTGGGGTTTGGCTGCGGACCAAGCTGGCTTAGGCGGCGGCGGCGGCTGCCCGGGAGAGCCCGGGCTTCCCTCCCCCTCCCGCACAACGTCGTCGGTCCCGCGCTGGTTCCCTTCCCCCATCAGCCTTGTGCACGAGGGTGTAGCTTTTGCCGAGGAAGGTTCTCGCTTCTCTCCTACTCTCCACCCACCTCCAGGGTGTAGCTGCTCCTGGGGGAAGCTTTCTATTCCGCCCCCTCTCTGCGCAAGGCTTTACCCACCGCCAGGGAAAGTTCCCCCTGGGCGCCTGCTGGCTCCGCCCGAGCGTGGGAGCCGGGTGCGCTCACGGTAGTGCCGCCCGCTCTGCGCGAAGGCACTTCGCTCTGAGCTAAGTTCCAGGGGTTGTGGAGTGGTTCTTGCTGGAACAGTCGTTTTAAGCGATGTCTAAATGACCGCATTAAAGCCGCTGAGGAAAACGCACAGGCTATGCGGGGTTGTTCCTCTGACGAGGAGATACTGGCTGTTCTGGTGTTGCTCTGCCGGGGGTACGGGTGGAGGGGCCAGGGGAAAATCTGCCAGGTGTTCATTACTTCATGCTGTTTGCACAGGAAAGGTGGATCGCCGTTCTTTGTGTGTTACTGAAACCTATTGCAGGAGTTGAGCAGCTTTCTGTGGAGCGATAGATGTATTCCCAAGTCAGGCCGCAGATGGCCCGCATCTTTAACATGGGAATTGATGTATATACTTAGTGCAAAAGAAAAATGTGGTCTGTGCGTATTGTGAGGACTCCCTGTGTTTTACTTTGAGGTCCATAGGAAAATGAACTTGCTACACAGGTCTGGATAGGCCTGGAAGGTTGGCAAATACATTTTCTGGGTATTTTTTTTATTTCAGTATTTGCTATATGGGAAGTGAAAAATGTATGTTTTCCAATCTTAACTCTTTTCTTTAAGGAATGTAACTCCTGTTACTGTTCGGTTGAGGTTCTCATATTTTGAAAGCAATTCAGTGCTAGTTTCCATGTCTTGTATGCTAGGGTGTAAATCTAGCTGCTGCATCTAACCCAGTGAACAAATTAATGGTTAAAATTGTTGATGATTTAAGGGTTTTGGTTTGTTCTGTTCAGAAATGTTTCACTTTTTCTGTTCTTAGTCTGTCCCTGGATAGATAGGATTTTTTTTTCTTTTTACCTACACAGTAGCAACCTGATAGACCATAAAGCTTGAGTATTTCACAAATGTGTTGTTTGAGAACTGGAATGAAAGTAACTGAGTGTGTGACTAATAGAGAAGATTCCTGTATAATAGCTGCTCTTTAATATGTGTTACATAAGTAATACGGTGAGGTGGAGTTCAGTTACATAAGAACTGACTGGGGACTTAGGAGCTACTGTAAGTAGTTCATATTGGTCGCATATGTAGCCTTCAGGGCATCTCTGTGTTGTGGGAGGAAGGGTAGAAAAACAGGATTGGAAGCATCTAACAGCACTACATATTTTCCTTGGTAGGTTTACAGAGGATACCAGAAAGAAAGGGAGAAGATGGTAATTAGAAATGTGAGAATTAGGAGTGTGAAGCTTTCAAAAGCAGTAGTATTATTTGACCTTAGGTTTTAGGAGGTAAACTCTGTTTTCTAAAAGAGCAGTCTCTCATTTTTTGAGTGTCAGAACGTGGTTGTCAGTTGAGCATTGTGCCAACTGACTTCTGTGCAGAGCAAGATACTTGAGTCCTAGATTGTGAGGCTGTAGTGGTTTTTTGTTTGTTTTTTATTAAAAAAAAATGCTTCCTGGAAGTGGTGTTAGGAGCAGGCAGGTTTTGTTGATCAAACATTAAAATGAGTGGATTACTGATTCTTCATGTGTAAGCATCGTATGACACAAGGTAAATACTCCTTTGTAATGGAAGCTTCCAGAGAGGCTTTCAGTGTACAGCGATTCTTTTAACACAGATTTATATGGGACTTGACATTGTGACATTGCGAATACTTTGTTGCAGATGTGTTAAAGGGAGAACATTGATTTCAACTAAAGATGAGGGGAGAAAACCCCATTTTATTAGTACTTGCATTTAGGCATGTGTTCTGTAATTATGAAACAGTAATTGCCTGCCTCACTGTAAGAGAATTATTTGAATGCTTATAAAATAGTTTATATCGAAAATAAGCAGGAATTTTAATTCTTAAAGCAGCATTTTAGATAACTCACTTTGATAACAGATTTTGCTTGAAAACCAAGAAATGAATTGCTTTAAAAGTTCTCTGTGTAACTTGCAGCTTATTGCAGCAGTACTTGAATGGAGGTGTGGCTGTGCTTTTATGAAGTAATTGAAGTGAAGGCAAGTTTTAATGAGCTGGTAGTAATTTCTTGTTAGCTTCAAGGTTGTTTTTATTTTGGGGAAGCAGTTATTTTGAAAGAAGCAGTAGCTCTGGCAGTGTTGCAGTGCAGTCTCAAAACAATGTCTTAGACATTCTGAATTATTTGTGCTGTAGGAGATGAGTAAAAATGAAATGTGTGTAGTTCTTTGAGACAGGGCACTTGCCCTATGGCCAGTCTGCAGCAAGCTGTTTTAATTTCAAAAGAGCTGTAAGAGAGAGAGACTGGGTAAAAAATGGTGTGTAGTTTACATTTATGGTAGCTTACCAGGGAAACTATCAATTTCTACTGAATTCCACTTTGTTCCTTAATGACGATACTTCAATGGGCTGGATATTCTCCAGCTGTTAGACGTGTGGTTCTAACTTGCCATGATAGCCTGTCTATGCACGCATGTGTGGTCTGAGCCCTCCCTAAGACCTGTTACTTAAACACTGCTGTTTACCTTTAGCCATACAAAGGGACTTAGAGGAGTTCAAGGGTATTTAGGGGAGAAAGGAGAGAGATACTAACAGTGAGATAGATCTGACTATGCATTAATGTCATAATTGAGACAGTTGAAGTGCTCATGCTGGAAGATGATCCTGCACCTTTTTTTAGCCGCTCATTCTTGCTTCTGCAAGTGATCATGGGGGAAGGAGAAGCAAAGAATAAAGCAAACATAAGCCTAATAGTAATGGATGTTTTTCTAATGTGACTCTTCATTGTGCGGCTTGACAAATATCTGTTTGAACAGGAGCAGAATGAAGCACCTGCTAGGAAAATGGAGATAAACAGGTTTTAATTGTTAGTGAAGTAAGGTATGCTTTTTCTCAAGAAAGTTGCAGTTATTAGGGGCACCTCTTAAAGGCTTTTGGCTAGTGTAACTAGAATCACTGAGCTAGGCACTCTCAAAAAAAATTGATGTATGTGTATATTTGAGTATATAAGTCATTGCTAGATCAACCTTCAGTTGTGGGTAGTGAGAGCACTTCAGATTCACTGTATTTGTAACCTTTTAAAATTAAGTGAAAGGATATTCTCAGCTACAGGCTAGTTAAGTGCTCATAAGATTTTAGATTTAAGTTTGTTTTGTTGGAACAGGATAAAACTTGAAATAAGCTTGCTTCATCCAGACATGGCTGATAATCTAACAGCTGGGGTATTCAGTGAAGAATTACTCCTACAGGGTGAGTTCTGAGTTAATCGTAAAAAGTGGTACCTGTGGGTCACAGTAGTCACTAGCCAAATGAATTTGCATTATTTGCCTGAGGTAAAAGAGTTCTAGTGCCTGACAACTCATCAGCTTGTCCACTTGGGTTTGGACAGACTGTGTTCAATGCTCAAAGAGCAGCAGGACAAGAACTTCTTTGCACACTGCTTTAGGCTTTGTGTTATAATGAACCTTTCTAGAAAAGTTGAGATTAGTAAGGTTTTGCTTTAGAAGGAAAATAGGTTATTGGCTGGTTCTATAATTCTTAACAGTTGAGTTCCTCACTTAAAGAAGCAACTTTAAAGCTGTTGTGTGGCTTCCTAATCCTGGAATTAGTGGGAATTTGTACCAGTTTCACTGCTATGACCTTTGGGTAGTGAAGTGGGGCATTGGTTTGTTTTCTCCTTCGAGTGTGACTGTTACTTGAAGTAGAGTCTTTCTGATGAGCTACTAGTTCCTTTGGAGGGCAGTATTAACGTCTGTGTAGCTACTTTCATAATGAGGTAGTGCTCAGACACGATTGTAATGCAGAACTTGAAACGCTGTTGGTAGCAGATCTTTGATGAAAATAACCAGTGGTTGAATAACTCCTGAGTAGTTTATTCACAATGGTGCTTTTTGAATATCTTCAGGAAGAAAGCAAGGGACGATACTGCCAGTTTGGAGACTTGGACTAAACCAGTTGGGAAATTACTGAAGGTGGTCCTGTCACAAAAAGCAAGACTGTGTTTCTTGGAAGTGGAGAAACCAAGCGAATCTTAGCTGCTGGATTTTTGTGCTTATTAAGTGTTGGACAAAAGAAACTACTGAAACTTCTTATTGTGACTGCTCCATCTGTGAGCTTGTTAGCGTGGCATGGTGATGCAGTAAACGTTACTCAAAAGTAGAAATGCAGGAGTATATCATGTCTCTTCAAAGGTTTAGCTTGTGGAGACTGCTGTACGACTCAGTGTGGTCTGTTAAGATTCAAAACAGAAATACTCAACAGGCTGAGAGAGCTGGGGCTTTTCAATATAGAAAAGAAAATGCTCTTGGGGAGACCTCATTGCAGCCTTCCTGTGTTTTAAGGTGGCTTATGAAAAACAGAGTGACTTTTTACATGGCAGATAGTGGTAGGAAATGGGTTTAAACTACAAGATGAGAGATCTAGATTGGATGTTAGGAAGGGGTGCTTAGATGATAGCGAGGCATTGGAGTAAGTTGTCCAGAGAAGTTGTGGATGTCCCATTTCTGAAAGTGCACAGGGGCAGATTGGATGGGGCGCTGAAAAACCTGGACTAGTGGAGTTGTCCATGCCCATGGTAGGGGCTAGGAACTCAATGATCTTGAAAGTGCCTTCCAACCCAAACTGTTCTATGGTGTCTGACAGTGGTAAGGTGGCTAAGAATGGGTACCTGTTTGATATTGACTACTGTTGGTTATAGTAAGGGATTTATTTCCAGCAAGCTTCAGTAGACTGGTAACTAATGAAGCTTTCTTTCAGTATTTGTTTTTAGTATTTTATTGACAAAAGTTGGTATCTTTCTGTCCAGTTGGCTGTCTTATATGGATTTTTCATAGCTGTTTGGTCCAGTGCTAGTACAGCTGCTACAGATGAACCAAATACAAGTCCGATACTAGTGGGGCATATAGGAGGTGTTAAAACTAGTGTGGAGGACACAGGAATTTTAGCTGAAGAAGTAGCTAGGAAACAAGCATTAGTATCCAGTTCTTGTGCTAAACTCCCTCCTTCCACGTTCCTGCCTTTACTTAGCAGGTTAGTCATGACACAGGACTGTCATGTGATTCCCCAAATTTTAGTGAAGTAAGATAAAATCCCAGGTGGAGAACTGTGCCACTTTGTTAATGCAGACAAAGCAATCCCTCAAAGAGACTGTGAGACTGTAGCTCATGATACTGAGTTAGTAATTTAA